GGCACGAGTGGCTTGGTCACCTCTGGAACACGACGGGACAGGGGGGACACGGCTCAGCTCGGCTGTACAAGGGGGCCGAGCGTCTCCCCGGGCTGCGAGGAGGGGACGGCAGCTCAGATCTCGGTGGCGATGATGTCCTCGTAGGGGACGTCGGCGCCGGGGATCTCCAGCTCGATGGGCTCCTTGCCGTCCTCGCCCGCCGCCAGCTGCTGCAGCATCTTCTCCAGGCTCTGGTTCCTCTTGTACATGTGCAGGTAGCTCTGCTGCAGCTGCTTCTGGTAGTGGATCACCTTCTCCTTCTCCTCCTTCCACGTCTGCCGCTCCTGCTGGAAGCTGCAGCTCATCTGCTCGTTGTTGTCACGTTCGGCCTGCAGCTCCGCCCGCAGCCTCTCCAGCTGCCCCTGCAGGGCCTGGGCATCGTCCCCGCCCGGCCGGGGCCCCTCGCTGAGCTGCTCGCGGAGCACGGCGAGCTCGGAGCGCAGCTCCAGGATCTCCTGCTCCAGCAGGTTCACCTTCTCCCGCAGCAGCTCCGACTCGTTCTTCTTGCGCTGCAGCTCGTTCTCGCACACCTCCAGCTCCATGGCCTTGGTGCGCAGCGACACCTCCAGCTCCTGGGTCTTCATCTCCAGCCCCTCCATCTTCAGCCTCACCTCCTTCAGCTGCGCCTTCAGGCTCAGGATCTCCGTGGTCTTGGTGGTGAGCTCGGTCTGTGACTCCTTCAGCTGCTGCTTCAGCAGCGAGATCTCCCCGGATTTCTGGCACACCTGGATGGGGATGAACACCTGAGTTAGGGCTGGAGCATGGGGAAATCCCCTGTGAGCTGGGCACAGCTGGGGTTCAGCTCGTGGAGACCCTCAATTTAACATTTTTACAGTTATTTATTATTAATTTAACTATAATTATTATTCATAATTAATATCACAAACGCCTCTTATTAAATGCTGGAATTTCCAGCAGATTGACGGTGTTTGCTCAGCCACACCAAGGAGTGAGTAAATTAAGCAGAGAATGGAAGGTTTTAGTGCTCCCTAACAAACAGCCGTGGGAAGCCCAGGTGGTTTCTTGTGGGAAGGCAGCTTTACAGCTCCTGTGGGGCAGGAAAACCCCGAGCTAGGGGCCGGGAATGCCGAGTTATTTTAGTGCCTGAGGGGTTTTGTGCTCTGCTGTTCCCTTGGGCGAGGGGAAGGGTTCAGAGGAGCAGTGAGAACCTCAATCCCAGCTCCTGGGGGCCTCCTGGGATTTCACATCCATTTCCTACAGCCTGGGACGCTCCTGGTGGATGCAGGAGCGGAGATGGGAAGGGCTGGGAGGTCTGGAGCTCTCCCCCTCCACATCCCCTTTGCTCTGGCCCCCTTTCCCCTCTCACCTCCCACTGTGTCTCCTCCAGTGCTGGGGCAAAGCTGGTCTTCTCCTTCTCGTAGGACCTCAGCTTGGTCTCCAGCAGGTTCTGCTCCTTCATGAGTTTCTCCAGCTCCTCCCGCAGCTGCTGCTTCTCCTGCTGCAGCTGGAACACCTGCAGGTGCAGCACCTGCTGTGTCCGCTGCGTCTTCTGCGAGGTTTGCTTGAGTTTGCTGTTGCATTTCTGCTTCAGCCCCTCCAGCTCCTCCTTGCAGCGCCGCTGCTTCTCTTCGTAGGCCTGGCAGGAGCTGATTTCCTTCTCCTCGAAGCTCGACTGCAGCTCCTGCAGCTCCCCCTCCCTCTCCAGCAGCTTCTGCTCCAGCTCCTGGATGGTGGACTCGTCCGTGGCGATGGGCGAGCGCACGCAGGTGCTTTTCTCGGCGGCGGGGTGGTGGTGGGGGGCCTTGCCGGGGTTCAGGATCTTATTGCCGCCGTCGGAGAAGGACATGGCCTTGAGGCTCATCATGTTGCTGTCCTGGATGATGGCGCACTGCAGGATGTTGTGGGCAGAGCCCCCGAAGCGGCTGATGGGGCCCATGGGGGTGACGAGGGGCTCCAGCTGGTAGCTGCTGCTGGTGCTGTGCGTGGGCAGGCTGGACATGGAGTTGCGGCCGGAGTCGGACAGGCCCCCCGAGCACGGCAGCGGCCGCAGCTCCTGCTCCTTGGCCTTCTCCGGGGGGTGCAGCTGCTGGGCCAGGGGTCCCCCGCTCTCGGGGGACGAGCGCAGGATGGCCCCGGAGCGCGGCAGCACCGGCTTGAAGGCCGTGGGACGAGGCAGCGGCTTCTCCCCGCCCTGCCAGGGGAGAGCAGAGCCCGTCAGCACCGAGCCGAGCTCCTCGAGGGTCCCCCCGCCCCTTCTGCCCCCCAGGACTGACCCCCGGGGTGGGACAGCTCGGGAGGACGCTGCTGGCTAAAACTGCTGGGTTTGGAAATGAAAGGCTCCAAATCCCTCGGGTCACGCTGCTGATCCAAACTGCCAAAAGCAGAGAGTGGCAGAGTGCCCCCAGCTGCCCCTGTTCTCCCTCAGCTTCCTCACGGACACAGCCCTGCCGTGGGACCTGGGGACCCTTTTTTTGGACAGATCGGGTCCAGTGTGACATCCCCCCGCTCCCAGGGCCACTTTTCCCCACTCACCACCTCCAGCTGGCTGGGGAAGGGCATCAGCTTCTGCGGCGTGGGCGTCCCGAAGTCCAGCCCGCTGCTCCCGGCGGGCACTCCCAGCTCCCCGCCGCCCAGGGCGGTGTAGTCCGGCCGCTGGGAGCCGTGCGACTTCTGGCTGACCTTGATGTAAAAGAAATCCTCATTCTTGCTGCTCTTGGAGCCGGACTTGTGGCCGGAGTCCTGCGAGAAGCCGAAGCGGAGCAGCCCGTCCGAGTAGCGGTTGAGCTTTTTCAGGTGCGAGGACTTGCGGAGCTTGTACTGGGAGGCTCGGCAGTGCTTGCTGTGGAAGCTGTGGCCGGAGATGAGGCTGCTGACGCTGCCCATGCTGCTCCCGGCGCCGCCAGATCATAGCACGGCCCTCGGTGCGGCCGGGAGCGGCGAGCCTGGGGACACGGGGACACGGCGTGAGCCAGGAGAAGCCACCTGGGGGTGGTGGCAGAGCCCCCCGGTTTGGGGCTGTGGGGGTGGGAACAGACTGGGGGGGATCTCAGAGCCGTCCCCAGCGCTCTGTGACAGGGACAGCACCTGAGAGCGGCGCCGGGAGGGTCAGGCTGCACCCCCAGGGTGGCCGGGCCCTGAGCAGGCTCCAGTCTGTGCCTGGGAGCATCCTGGATAAAGCCAGCAAAGTTCCCTGCGGGAGCCTCTAAAAATTCCCAGAGGAGGAAAAGGGATTTGTGAGGATTTTTAGGTGCCTGACAGCTGCGATCCCAACAAGGCCCCGCTCCTCCGCGCTGGGAGCCGCAGCCGCAGCCTCTCCCGCATCCCTGGAGCTCCCGGATCCCTCTCCAATTCCCAGTGCTCCTCTTAAGCCGCCTGAAAAGGGACGCCGAGAGGTTTAATTAGCGTTAATGGCTGTGCGGCACTCGAGGGGACAAGAGGCCCTGTGAGCGCTGAGGCACGCGGGGCTCTCTGCTCGCCCGCTTTGTTGTGAGGGAAAAAACAGAAATAAAATAAAACCCCGGCTCCTGGTGGCCTCTGTGGCTCTTGGCTCTAATGGGGCTGAGTTCGGTAATTAGGGGTGAGCTGGGAGAGGGGGGAAGGCACGGAAATAAAAAGATCTGGGTCCTGTTTGCCCTGCAGGAGGAGGGAGGTTTCAGCTCTGTGCTGGGTTTGGAGCAGCTCAGAGCGCTGGGTGCTCCAATCCTCTCCCGAGTTCCCATGGTCCAAGCAGGGATCTGGGGGTTAAATTGGGGGTGGTGGACGGGGTGCAGGAACGCTGTGCCAGGGCCTCCTCGCTGCCCCATCCTCAATCCCAGTCAGTCCTCTGCTTCCCATTCCTCTGCTTTCCCACTCCCCTTTTCCCATTCCCCTTTTCCCACTCCTCTCTTTCCCCACTCCTCTCTTTCCCCACTCCTCTCTTTCCCCACTTCTCTTTTTCCATTCCCCTTTTCCCATTCCTCTCTTTCCCCACTCCTCTTTTCCCATTCCTCTTTTCCCATTCCCCTTTTCCCATTCCTCTCTTTCCCCACTCCTCTTTTCCCATTCCCCTTTTCCCATTCCTCTCTTTTCCCACTCCTCTCTTTTCCCACTCCTCTTTTCCCACTCCTGCCATTCCCGCTGGGCTCCAGCTGCTCCCAGCCAGGGCAGCACCACCCACGCTCATCCCTCAGCTTTATTCATTTTCCTCTCGATGGAGGAGAAGTCCTGGCAAGCCAGACCATCCCCCTTAATCCCCAAATCCATTTTGGGAGATTAAGGGAAGCAAGAAAGACCCGAGGCCCGAGCGGCTGCAGGGATGCGGCTGAGACGGCACAAGCGATAACCGGCTTTGGGAGGAGGAGGAGGAGGAGGAGGAGGAGGATGCAGGGGACACGATGATTGTCCCCACACGCTGCCAGGGTAGGAAAGGTGCTGTGACAATGCCACAGGTGCGGCCACAGCGTCCCCAGACAGCTGGAGAGGGGGTGCACAGCTGCAGAAGGGGTGCACAGCTGGAGAGGGGGTGCACAGCTGGAGAGGGGTGCACAGCAGCAGAGCACTGGGGATGCACAGGTGCAGAGGGGCTGCACAGCTGGAGAGGGGTGCACAGCTGGAGAGCACTGGAGTGCACAGCTGGAGAGGGGTGCACAGCTGGAGAGGGAATGCACAGCTGCAGAGGGGGTGCACAGCTGCAGAGCACTGGGGGTGTGACAGCCAGAGCTCACAAAATCACAGAATTAGAAGAAAAGGCCTTTGAGGTCGAGTCCAGCCCAAGCCCTGAAAGTCCCCGTGCAGTGAGAGGGGTGCCTGGATCTGCGTGTGGGGTCACGGTGTCCTCGCTGGGTGCTGTGATGTCCCCAGAGCTGCTGGCTGAGCCTCACTGGGGTTTGCTGTCACTCATCGAGCACATCGAGCACAGAGCCAGGAGAGACACGAGCGCATCCCTGTCGCTCTGTGCCTGCAGCAAATGAGCCTTTCAAGGGGTTTCTGTCGGCACGAGCCCCGTGTCCCCTCCCCGAGCAGCACTGTGACCCCTCCAGGGGCTTCCAGCTCTCTCTGGAACAGGGAATCCCGGAATGGTCACGGTGCCTGTGGAGCTCACCCGGTGCAGCCCCTCAGGTTGGGAGCGTGGGGGTCCCGGGGGGGCAGATCCCAACAAACAGCGCGGGGTGAACCCACGGGATCGGGGAAAACACGTGGATTCACCCACTCGGGCTTGTGCAGAAAGAGGGGGGAAAAAAATGAATGGCATCTCATCATCCCAGTCATGCCTATCCTGCACGTGGGAGCGCCGCTCTCCCATCGCCTCCTTCCCCCACGGATTCAACCTGATCTCCCTCGGCTTTTCCCCCTTCCCGCTGCAGCAGCTTTCCCTGCACCTTCCCAAGCAGGTCAGCCTGGCAGGAGCCCTCGTTTCCTCCCGAGCCTGGCGGTGCTGCTCTGCTCCCTGCCGATCCTGTTCTTCCCCCTGGCTCTGGAATGCCAGCGCTTCCTTCTTCCCCGCGAGCTCTCGCCCACTCCTTTTCCCTCCTGGATTATTATTCATCCTCGCCGTGCAGATGCTCCCACACATTTGGGTGTTTGTTGGGAGATGCACGGATAACACGGAGCAGCTGCCAAGAGCCCGGCTCAGGGCTCGGCCTCCTCCTTCCTCTTTCCCTCGAGCGCTGCCAGGTGCTGTGCCCCTATTCCACTCGGCGATTTGGGGCTTGGGGACACCGGGAATGTGGCCCTGGGGGGGAAAACTGGGAATTTCCATGGTGAAAATGCTACCTGGGGCAGCTGAGGTGTGCTTTGATGAAAGGAATGGCTCAGTGCAGAGCCTGGAGTGCAGCACTCGCTCTGAGCTGGGCTTGGGAGCTGCACCAAGCCCGAACTGAGCCTTCAGGACCCCCAAACGCTGCTGAAACCCCCAGGCTGAGGACACGAAGCTGCCCCAGGCTGAGGACACGAAGCTGCCCTGAGCTGTGTGAGCATCTGCCCGACTCTGCTCCAGCTCCTGCTGCTCTCCCCGAGCCCTTGAGCTGGGGCCAGCCTCTCCAAACCCTGCTCCTTTTGCCCTCTGCTCCTTTTACTCCCTCAAACCCTGCTCTTTTTGCCCTCCAAACCCTGCTCCTTCTACTCCCCAAACCCTGCTCTTTTTACCCTCCAAACCCTGCTCCTTTTATTCCCCAAGCCCTGATCTTTTTGCCCTCCAAACCCCGTTCTTTTTACTCCCCAAACCCCTCTCCTTTTACTCCCTAAACCCTGCTCTTTTTACCCTCCAAACCCTGCTCTTTTTGCCCTCCAAACCCTGCTCTTTTTGCCCTCCAAACCCTGCTCTTTTTACCCTCC